CATTTCCCCTCTAACAATCATTACAGAAACCATCACTCTAGGGAGTCTGCAGAGAACCTCACACCCATAGTTATGTTCTATTGACAAAACCTGCCCCTCATCCAATTAACTGCTAATCTTAGCGGAACCCACCTCACATTCCAGCTATCCAGGGAACCAGGTGTGGCCACTTGTGACTTCTGGCCTGTCTGTCTGAATGTAACCGAGCTACGTGACCGGAACCACGCGGCCTGCGAGATCCCGTACCCTGCCCCTCATCCCTTACCATATATAAACTGTAACCCGTCCCTAATAAACAGAGGCCTTGACAAAGTTGCTTGGCCTCGTTCTTCTGTCTTAGCTCATTCCCTTCCAGGTAGCGCCCCTCCGAGACCCTGGAATAACTTGATTGCGGGTGGGTTACAACCCCTAGACTGAGTAACCCAGCCCACCCAACGCAATCCACAATAGTTATAATATCCTATCCATTTGTATTTGGCAAATTAAGAGAAAATATTCAATTATTTATCTTATCTTTGTGAGTCTAAAGTTTTAGATATAATTTACCTTTTTATCATAACTAAGGAAAATTTTAAGTCTAATTATTTAGTCTTTAACTCCATCAAAGACCCCAGAAGGGTGTAATGTTGCCTAACAACAGGGACATCTGGCCCACCCAAATTTTCTTCTGTATCATTGTGGTATCCACCTTTGGTCTATAGGCCTAGTATATCTGACAGACATTTATGAGAAGCAGGAAATTTTGAAGAACTGTCCCACCTTGTCTTGGCAAAGTTCAGCAGTAGCTTTCTTTTGTGTCCTACTTGTCCAGTTTGGAAAGCATACTGTCAGCACTTGAAGCAAGGGAAGTTTCTTGTCCAGTGGCTAGTTTTTTCCACAAAGAAAGCAAGCTCCATATGGAGTTTCTTCAATATCCATTATCTTTTCTGAAGTAAATTGGTACTGCCAGGAGCAGAAGTGTCTCACTGTCATGAAAAGTCTCAGGTCATTAAACATCTTAAGTGCCATATTCTGTAGGTCTTTGAAGTGTTTAAGACCATCTATCTATTTAAATATTTCTGTTTAACCTTGAAAACAGACCTATTATGACTACAAGTTTGCTTATTGTAGATGACTAACTACTAACCTATCTTTCTCTCTCTCTCTCTCTCTCTCTCTCTCTTTTTTTTTTTTTTTGAGGTAACTTTGATTTGAAACCTGTCCTGGAACTACCTCTTGTAGACCAGACTGGCCTTGAACTCACAGAGGTATGCCTGCTTCGACCTCCCAAGTGCTCTGGGTTTAAAGGCGTGCGCCACCACCACCATCCAGCTAGAATCTGTATTTCTTAATTATACATCACATTTGTAAATGAGCTACATAAACACAATAACCCCAGAGTAGAAACATAAAAACAGTATAACAAAAATAGCTTTAAGAGCTTTAAGTTTGGATTAACCAAAATCCGTGCCAATGTAAATTCTTTGGGGATTATTAGTTGCTCTTTGGATTAAAGTAGATTCAATAATCTACCCTTTTATCTCATTATTTTTATATTATACTCCCCCTTTTCCTTTAGAAAGAGGTCTTTGAATTCAACTCCTTTGTTCAGCTTGTTTCCTGACCATGACAAATAACACCTTGTTCCTGGATTTTAGTATGAGCATTTTCCATAGACATCTTGACATTTGAGCATCTTACATTTTATCTTCCATTTTAACTGGTTTCCAGACAGATCTTACATAGGGAAGGTTCGGGAGTGGAAACCAGCTCATTATGGCCAGGAAGAAGTGGAAACCCAGGTTCCATACCAGCTTCTGCTGGCATCTAAAGAGAGAGTCTCCTTATTCCTGGTGGCACAAGTCAAGGCTCCTCTGATGTTGTCTACCTGACACCACAGAAACTTGTTGCCCTTGGACATGGATGAAAAGTCTCAGCCCTCCACTCAGTCTTCTTGAATACCAATCTGGAGAGGGGTGGATGGGTAGAGAAGTTCCCCTGGAGACAGTGGGAAGCTAGGTCCCCCACTTAGCTTTCGGCATGGGGTGGGCTTGTGGGGTGTGTTTTCTGGAGTGGAGCCTGGAGTGGACCACCATTGCCCAAGAGACTCTGTCTTCTAGGCCACCCCTTTCCAAGGTCTTAGAGTAGGTTTGCACGGACAGTCTTTTGGTATTTACATTTTTTTCAGCTCCAGAGAGAACTCTCTGCCACTTATTCCTTTGGTCTAAAGGTTGCTAGTCAATCAATCTGTCTTCTCTCCTTCTTCCAGAGCCTTTTGTATTTTCTCTACATAATAATACCCAGGCTTCCTAGCAGTGCTCAGCCGGAAGGAGGAACAGAAATGTCTGCTCCAGCTTCCTGGAAGTGGAAGCTCTCATCTTTCCTTTTGGTAATATGCAAATATTGTTTTTCTTAAAAAAAAAAAATTCCTAAAATCACTTTTCCTGCTAATGCCATGTGATGAGTGGAAATAGGAACTGTGCAGTCACCTCTGTCTGAACCCTTCTCTCTTAGTAAGCTCTGTTTGGAGTCTGTTCGTGGTTTAGAATCAGTCCCTTTCTTTTGCTGAGTACCCTGTTGTATACGGGCATACAGAAACTTGACCATGTTCCTATTGATGAACACTTGAGTAGTTTCTGAGTTTGGGGAATTAAGTATAGAGCGAATAAGTTATTTTAATAAAGTGATCCCAATAAACTTTCCACTGAACATACAGTTTAGTAATAACAATGCTTCCAAATAAACCCTTTATTTCTGGCACGCTGTCCTGGTTTTGTTCTGTTGCTGTGATAAAACTCTGACCAAAAGTAACTTAGGGGAGGATAGGGTTAATTGCTTTACTCTTACAGGTCACGGTCCATCATTGGTGAAAGTCAGGACAGGAACTCAAGCTGGAATTTGAAGCAGAAACCCTGAAGAATGCTGTTTGCTGGCTGGTTCAGCTTCATGCTCAGTCAGCTTTCTTACACAGCCCAGGAGCACAGGCCCAGGGAATGGTGCCACCCATGGTGGGCTGGGCTCTCTGCCAATAATTAACAAGTCAACCCCCCACAGGCATACCCTCAGGCCAATCTGATCTAGGCAACCCCTCAATTAAGACTTCTTCCTCAGGTGACTCCAGGCTGTGTCAAGTTGACAATTAAAACTTGTGGGGTTGGAGTTGGTTTCTTGCTTAAAAGCACTTGTTGCTCTTGCAGAGGACTCCGGTTTAGTTCTCAGCCCACACTGTTGCTTACAACTTCCTGTAACTCTGGTTCCAGGAGATCTGCTGTCCTTCTCAGACTTCTGCAGGCACCAGGCAAAACACTAATACACATAAAATAACTAAATCTAAAAAGGAAATCATTTTTTAGACCAGGCTGGCCTTGGACTTATAGAGACACGCCTGCCGCTGCCTCCCAACTGCTGGGTTTAAAGGTGTGTGCCACCACTGCCAGGCACCTAAAAAGGAAACCTTTATAGCTTACTAGGACACACCTTGAGTTTGTAAGTTTCTTCCTTCATCCATTTATTTCTTTCACTCAGCCTATGTAAACTAAAGTGAGCCTATTCTCCGAATTAGAAATCATTTCGGGAGGATTATCAGCAGTGTGTGTGTTGTGTGGGGGGGGAACCTAGATCTCTCCCGCAGCAGTTGACAAGTGGTGAAAGACAATATTGTAAACAAGGGATGACAAGTGACATCAGCAGCACCTGTTGTGAAGGTTAGGTAGTGCTGGCCTAGTGGATGGAGCACGCCAGGCAGCCTCGTGGTAGACAAGGTGTCCTTCGGTCCCAGAGTGGTGGCTGGAGGGCCAACCTGTCGGGAGAAGGACTGGGAGGCCCCTTGGAGAACGCTGGGTTTGAGGAAGACACAGGATTTTTTTTTTCTGTAAGCCTATATCTTTAATTGTCTTCACTCCTAGGGAAACAATGTACCTAAGAGGTGGCTTGCACACCGTCCATGAAAGATGGGGCAGACCCAGGGAACAAGCCTCTGACTGAGGCTGCCCAGTGAAGTGAGTGACTCTCATTGCCGGCTTTCAGGGCTGTGCCTTCTCCCTCAATGTGAGCACACCCTGCCTTTCTCCAGCCCACCTTTCCACCACGCCTCTTCTTCGGGAGCATCCCCACCAGGAGTGGCAGTAGTTCAAAACCTACAGCCACATGTGGTCCCTAGAGCTTCCGGTCTGTGTGCTATAGGCCAAATCTTCTCTCAGAGCCAGGGCCGTGGGAGTTCTCGCGCTGTAACTGAGAGTTTGAAGAGAACTAAATGAGCCCACGTGTTTCTCTGAGCGACACCACTTTTGCTACCACGTCTTCAGTAGAGCTGTGGGCCATATGTACACCCAGACCCAGCCATTCTTTAGGTTTTATCCCATTTAGCCTTGTGGTACTGGGGACCAAGGCACTACCTCCCCCCTCCTTTTACCCTTATTTCTGGGATAGGAGAGTACTAAGTTCCCAGGCTAACCCCGAACTCACTCTGTAACCCAGGTAAGCCCTGAGCTTAATAAGATCTTCCTGCCTCAGCCTCCTGAGTATCTGGGATTCCAGGCCTGAACCACCAGGCTTGGCCCGTCTTACTTAGTTCTCACAGCAGCCCTACCACGGTGGTGGGCACTTTCGCGCTCCCTGCTTCTAGAACATTGGAGATCTAGAAAGGTTGAGCGAGTGGCCCAGATTTGGTGAGAGGTGAACACAGAAGGGTAAGTTAGATTTGTGTGGCTCCAATTCCCTTGCTTTCCCTTTTTCTTTTTGCTACAGGGTTTATTGTTTTCTCAATTTTGAATAGGGGGGAGGAGTGTCCTCTGGGGATCAGCGTGTGAAGAAGTCTGAAGGAAGTTCTAGATTCAATCTTTTCCTTGGTTTCTAAGGAAGAAATGGGGGAGGAGATAGTCCAGTGTCAGTTCTGGAACTGGGATTCTAGGAAGGATTCAGGCTGTGGACCTCCACACGGGAGATGTAGGGGGTCAGAGCAGGAGGGAGATGGGGGGGGGCATGATAGCTGCTTGGATTCTGGAGCTGAGAAAATCTGGGCTCCAATCCAGACTCGACCAACCGACCCTGAGAGTTTGGGCATATTGTTGGAGCCTCCCATTTCCACACTCCCATTTCCACGTTTACAAAATGGTGACTAACATCTCCCTGGAGACGTGCTGGGTGAGTACACCAAGACAAACACGTGAAGTGCTGAGACGCTATCAGGCCCACTGCAAACGCCTAATAAGTCCTGGCTGCTGTTCTCGCTCACCATTGTTCTGGAAAGCAAGATGCTGTGGCAAGGGGAAGCACAGACACTACAAGAACAATGCCTTCAGGGGCAGAGGTGGCCAGCAGCTGCCCAGGCTGCTGCCTTGTTCAGGCCAAGCCCCGAAGTGTGTGTGTGTGTGTGTGTGTGTGTGTGTGTGTGTGTGTGGAGGGGGATACTGGTGTAGGGGACCCAACTTCCTGTACCAGCGAGACTGTGTGACCTGGGGGTGCCTCCCAACCTGCAGAGGTCAATTTGCCTCTTTGCTTCTGTAGCTGCCCTCCGGAGACAGCAGCAGCAGCAGCAGTGGCGGAGGGAGAAGCAGCTGGGGTTGGCGCTCAGCCACTCCAGCTGTCGTCTTTGGTAACGTGTTTATCTGCTCCAGAGGGAGATGGATGGCTGAGCAAGGAGGTGTACGGGAGGCTGGACTCCACACACAGTGACCTGCCAGCTTGGGTGAGCTTGCCATGGACAGCAGGCAAGGGTCCCATCACCATGGGCTGTGGTGCCCTCTGCACGGCTCTGCACCAATGAGAGGCAGTTTGCAAACTTATTCTAAACAGATTACATTTCATATCCTAATGTGGCTGCTGGCTACCTGCCCGTGGATTTTAGCCTCCAGGAAAGAAACAATTCCATGAGCTGAGTGCTCCGCACTTTGACTCTGCGTACATTGCTTAAGGCTTCTCCCAGGTCCCTTTAGCCCCCCCCCACACACACACACTTCCTTTCAGAAAGTTCTCTCTCCTCTGGGCTTAACCAGAAAACCTGGAAGCTGCTCTCTGCCCAGTCAAAGCCAATGAGCTGCCCCACCCCCACCCCCACCCCATGCTGAGCCAGGAATCCAGTACAAACCAAATGCCCAAGGAATCCCAGAACCTCGGGAATGCTGTCTCCATGTCCACTGAGTGATCTGCCATACTCTTCAGGTGACGACTCTTCAGGCAGTGGCCACTCTGGGCACCCAGATGTTTGATCATGCAAAGCTGACAGCTGTTTTCTCTGGTCTTTCTTTGTCTAAAAGTTGGAGTACCCATGCAGTCTCAGAACAGGATTCTAGGCAGACCGGGAGTGACACGGGCAGCCATGGGATGCTCTCACTTGTTTGAGGTTCAAGTGTGTGCACATTTGTTAACAGGTGAGCACTCAGACATGTTTATACATGCATTAGTAAGTGTGAACACACACACACACACACATGAATAGTCACATGCAAAGTCCCCAGTGAACACAACATGTTCACAGGCTCTTTAGAAGCATCTCAGGCCTTTCAGAATTTGTTAGCAGCTCATCTTCTTTTCTTTCTTTCTTTCTTTCTTTCTTTCTTTCTTTCTTCCTTCCTTCCTTCCTTCTTTGGGTTGTTGTTTTGTTTTTCGAGACAGGGTTTCTCTATAGCTTTAGAGACTGTCTTGGAACTAGCTCTTGTAGGCCAGGCTGGCCTCAAACTCACAGAGATCCGCCTGCCTCTGCCTCCCGAGTGCTGGGATTAAAGGCGTGGGCCACCACCACCCGGCCTACAGTCTCACTATGTACCCCCAACTCTTCCAGAACTCACTATGTCAAACTACTCAAATCCAGAGATCCTTCTGCCTCTGCCTCTTCAACGGTGGGATTAAACGTGTGCACTACCGTGTCAGCTGAGTAGTTCATCTTTTAAAAGTTTGAGTGACTGTTTAGGATTAATGTTTGAATATTTAGTCCCCATTTGGTGGAACTGTTTGGGAAGGACTAGGATGTGTACCATGGAGGGCGAGCTTTGTGGCTTCAAAAGATCCACACTGTTTCCTGAGGGCTCTCTGCTTCCTGTTTGCGAATCAAGACGTGAGCTCTTGGCTCTTTCTGCGGTGTTTTTGTTCTGTCATCACAGACTCTGGCCCTCTGGAACTGTAATCCCAGTTAAAAGCTTTCTCCTGTGAGCTGCCTTGGTCGTGTGTTTGGTCATGGCAAGAGACAAGTAACCGAGACACTGCCTCGTGGTGTCTGTCACTGGCTAATGTGGGTCTAGAGGGAGGATGCCAGAGTGTCTGGGCTCTTAGGCCTTTCCTCTTTACAATGAACTGTACAAAGACACACAAATAGTTACAGGGGTGGAGAAAGTTTCCTAAAGTGAAGACATTGGGGCCTGGGAGTGTGCCATGTCTCCCTAGGGCTCAGCTCCAAGACAGAAAAGAGAGGGACTGAGGTGAGGCCTCCGCTGACCTTTTGTGACTCATTAACCCAATGCCCCCCTCTTCCATATAAGGGAGTGAGCAGGCTTTTCAGCGTGCTGCTGTCCTGGCTGAATGACGCTCAGGTGTCTTTCCCCACAGACCTTTTGTGTGTTTGTCTCTGGAATTTCCTCTACTCTTTGTCAGCCTCCTGGCTGCTCAGGCCTCTGCAGAACAGGGACAGCTCTCTGCTCATGCCCCCACCACCTGCCTCCTGGCAGGGCCCCTAGGGAAGGTGAACAAAGAAAAAATAAACAGTGACCGGCTAGCATTAGAAGGCCAGGAAAGCCAGTGCTTGAGCCCAGGGGCAAGGGAATTTACTGTTGACACCCACTGGCAGCTGGCCAGGCCCCTGACAGACAAGCTGCCCTCTCCTTCACAAGATGACAGCTGGAGGCTTGATCAGCCAACCCCTCTGTGAAACCCCCGAATAGCTCTGTTCTTCATTCTAGGTTTCTACTGGAGGAACCAAAGAGGGTACGCCAAGCTCATCCTGCTTGGGGCTTGGTGCACAGCAGTCACCCACAGGTGCTCTGGAGTCCGAAGGCAGATTCAGGAGCCAGCAGCTGAGTGTGTCGGTGCTGTACTCTGTAACCAAGTGCAAAGCCACAATGGCCGACCAAAGCCGTGGGGGCCACAGTATGTTCATCCTCTCCAGGGAGGGGGGCAGGGAAAAAAGACAAATGGTGGGGCTTTTAATTTTAACCTGAACTGAGAAGTAGAAGGAGGTGACCCCAAGCTGTGAAAAGAGCCATGATCATAAACGCATTTATCATCAATTAACACCTCCAAGTCCTGAGGCTGGCCAGGCAGCTGGCACGTTTTGGTTAGTTCACATTTTAACACCACACTCTCCTCTGCTTCTCCCTAAGCGGATGCAGGGTAGCTGCAGGATGGCTAATGTGTACTTAGTTAACACAGGCCTGAGGTGTGGCTCCTGCACAGCAGAGCAGGGACTTCTCCACTGTCCCCACCCCTGGGGCACTCACCCAGCAGTGTGACCCGCTGGCAGCCTAAGTGGATAGAATGTGCTTGAAGGGTTAATTACTTGCCTTTAGAATCTGCCTGCCCCTCAGGAGAAAGGACATGGGCTTCATGTTTTACATGTTGAAATGTATTTTAATAGATAACCTGTACACCTGTACAAATAAAAGATCTAAACTGCCTGTCGTTCTGAAATATGTATGTGTATGTATGACGCGGGGAAAGGGATTCACATGCCACAGCATGCATGTAGCGGTCAGAGGGAATCTGGGGGAGCTGTTTCTCTCCTTCCATCTTTAAATGGATCTGGGGCCTCGAACTCAGATCCCCAGGCTTTTGCGGCCAACACCTTTGTCCACTGAGCCATCTCGCTGGCCCCAGCCTCTGTCTCTTGAAAATCACTTTTCTTCTTCCACTGTTGCCCTATTTCACAGGAGCCGACGGAGGTATTTTCGTCACACACGAGGTAGGGCACTTTAGTTTGTTACATGGAGGGCAGTGGGCTGTGCCTCTGATTATTTAACCAGTTGCAGAATGCCAGACACTGGGGCTGTGTGCCGTCTTCCGTGAATACAAGTGATGCCGCCTAAAGGGCGGTAGGGGTGCACACGGCTCCCACCCGCCTGAGCACACCTTTCTGTGAGTTCTCAGAGGCTGAGCTCTCGGGGACGGGAGAAGCCTTTGTAGTTTAGCAGCAGGCAGAAGGATGCAGCCCCAGACATATTTCAGACACAGCACGTGAGAGAACTGTGGCAGCCCCGAAGGTGGATGGTGATGCCTTGGTTTAGATTTCAGTTGCTTTTTTCTTCCATTCTGTGTTGTTAAAAGCCTCTCTTCAAATGCATATGATATTGTATTTCAATCTCTACACCTCAGGTGCCAGAATGGCCAAGTAATCTAAGATTCCAGGTTCCATCACCATATCTCGTCAGCTCTTACTTCTTGTCGGTGTTTGCATGGGATGCTTAGGTTGGTGTTTTTTTGTTTTGTTTTATTTTTGTTTTTGTTTTTGTTGATTTATTACAATCTTTAAGCAAGGGAGCTTGCTGGTTGTCTGAGATATTGACTGTGAATAACTTCTGCGGGTGGATTTGCGTGCATTTATGGGAGGTTTGGTGACGAGGAGTAGGCGGGTTAACCTTCAGTGTCAACTGGATTTGGGGTGTCCCTGAAGGTGATTCCAGAGAGGTTTAACTGAGAAGGAAGAGCCCAGCCTGTATGTAGGTGGCACCATCCCACGCAATGGAGTTCCAGGATGGGAGATTCGTCAGCATTTTCTGTTGTCTGCCTCCTGGTTTGTTCGGCCGTGGGGAGTCCTGGCTGTCTGTGACCAATGGCATGTCTTCCCCTCCATGTTGGACCCCCATCCTCTCAAATCCTGAGCTAAATCAAACCTTCATCCATTGCTCTCTTGAGGCAAGGGGTTCTCTAAATGCTATCTCTCCATCACAGGTAGTCTAGCTAGCTAGCCAGCTTGTCTCTGGAGCTGAGATTACAGGCGGGCTACCACACCCACTGACACACGTGGGCACTCTGCTCCTCACACTGGACTTGAGCCATCTTTCCAACATAGAGTTTTATTTTTAAAGTGCAACCGATTGAACCAGTTTCCCCTTCTTTACTTTTTTGTGCATTCTTATAAAAACCCTCTTCCCTACAAAATGGAAATCTATATTTTTCTTCTAGTTCTTTCTGTTTCATTTTTTACATTATATATTTGATCCACGTTGGCTTTATTTGTCTATGGAATGTGTGCTTTGTACCCCCCCCCATTATTTCACTACCATTCACCAAAGAGTCCACCTCTGCTCGCTGACTCCAAATAACATCTTGATCTTAGCCCTTGAACGCGCTTAGCTCTTCTCTGGCTTTCTCGTCGAGGAACAAGGGGGTATGTTTTGATGAATTACATGCAATGCCTAGGCTTAGGACCCCAGATTGGGAAACGATATTTTTATAGATGGTTTAACGTATAGGAATTGCTTCTCACTTCAGAAAAATCCATGTTCTTTGTGTACTGAGCTTTCTTCCATTGTATCGTATTTTTTTTAAAAAAAAGTATCTATTTTGAGAGGAAGTGTGTGTGTGTGTGTATGTGTGTGTGTGTGTGTGTGTATGAGCGCACATGTGTGTTCATGTACTCAAATGCAGGTGTCTGCCGAGGCCAGAAGAAGGCATCAGACCCCCTGGCCCTGGAGTCCCAGCAGTTGTGAGCCACCCACAAGTGGGAACCAAATCCAGGTCCTCTGGAAGAGCAGTGGACTATTCACTCTGGAGCCTTCTCTTTAGCCCCTTGATTCTTGCTTTCCTCATCTGCTCCCTTGTGTCTAATCTCTACAGCTTTGAACAGAAACATTCCTGCTGCTTGCCCTACATGAAAAAATTCCAACAAAATGACCTAACTCAGGAGGGTGACAGAAAGAAAGGAGGAAAGAGGAGGGAGCTGAAATTCCACACAGGGGCAGAAGTTCGTGGAACTCCGGGAAAGGCTGGATGTTGCCTGTCGATGCCCACGGGAAGCCTTGAATCTCTCCTGAGGGCCCAAGTCATCTGGACAAGGTAATTTTTTTCCTAACCGTTGTCTTGTCAGGGAGAGGAGATATGCTGTTTTAGAAGGCTGAATCAGGACTCTCCGGAACCGGACACTCATCCCTGTGTGGACAGGTGCCACATCCCTGAAGAGCCATGTCTGGTCCAGGGTGACACAATCATTTCCTGTTACTATTTCAGGCAACGTGGGGCTTCCAGCAGCATGAGTGTCTGTTGCGGGAGGTCTTTCCGCCCCTCCAACCAATAGCTGCTGTGATACCAGCCCATTGGGGCGTGGTCTCACTCCCTTTAAAAAAGCGGCTATTTCCTCTGCTTGCTCTCTTCTCTTCCTGCTCCGCTGGAGACGAGACTCCCTTCCTGGTTGCACAGATGGCTGTTGTCTGGGATTGTGATCTATAAGTTTTTTCCCCTTTAAATAAATAACACCCTATTAATCATAACTCCAAACTGGTGTTGCCTTGTT